CTGGGATATTCAGTTCTAATCACAGTGAAGCCTACCGGATTATTAAAAGAGGAGTTGTTACCTTGGGCTTTTTTTGTTTGCCTGAGATTTCCTTCCCTCGCAATTATCAGATGTAATTAGTTTGACTCCCACACCAACAGGCTCCCCTGAGCGGATGCTTTTTTAAAGACACTTGCATCTCATGTTGAAATACAGCTTGTTTACTACAACTTGTCTTAATTGCCTCTAATAATTGTGTGGGCTTTAGCTAAATAAATTAACACTAGAACAACTTACCTGACTTTAACTGCGGACAGATGTTGCCAATAATGTTGCATTTTATGAAAATACTTTTTTTTATTAGAAAAGTATAGAAGAGTGGGCACTATTCACGTGTAGAATGACACCAACAGAACATGTGTTTGTACAAAGCGATTATGGAAATTCAGTAGAAAAATGTTTTCTGTATAAGGAAAATGAAGCCATAAAGCACTGTGAGCATGCAAAAAAAAGAAATAGATGGTTAAGCACTTTAAGAGGAATTAATTGGACGGTTAAAACAAGCAGTGAACACATTGAAGACAATTAAAAGTTTTGTAAACGCGTTGGGAGAAGGTTATTTTAAGTTCAAGAATGCACGTCCTCCGTTTGTTTCTGACTTCGGTCCCATATTCACTCTCCTTGCTTTTTTTTTAGTCGACAACTCCAAAAATATCTTGCTCGTCAAACAATGAATATGTCCTTTTCGCCAGCTTGTCACTAACGTCGCCAACCATTTTGTCCTTGATGCTTTTTCATTTTAAACAGATGCTTGTGTCTTTAAGGAGTAAACAGTTGAGTTCTTAAATGAGCTGGAAAACGGGAATTGTAAAACTTGGTGAAAATAGTCTTGTTATTAAACGATACTGATTAGCGCAGCATCAACAATCACCACAGAGTGCCAGTGTCCACAGCAGTAAATCAAAGCCATAATTTTGGATTAAATGTGCCAGTTAACCGTCTCATTGAACCACTGATCCGTACACAGCTGGCACAGCAAACTGTCGTGAGGAGGCAGGTTGCAGACAACTAGCTGTTAGTATCGTGGCGATTGATTATCTCTGCTTGGAGTAACCCTGTTTTAACTCAAGTCTGGCTTCAAAACACTTTGTCACTTCACCACATGAGGAGCAGTGACTTGTCCCAGTTTAACGAGCAATTCATCATTGTGTCCGACCAGGGGGAGCTGTGTGAAGGGGTGGTCTGTAGAGCGGCTCCTCTCTTTTCAGGCATTGCTTTGGGCTTCATTGAGCTGCTTTGTTGATGTCAAATGATACAAGTTACGTTTAAAACAAAGTGGGAATAAGATTGAAAAAATAAAAATTAAGAATTGATGCTGCTGTGGAATTTGATAATAAATCAAGTAATTCCATTGAGACATTTGTAGCTCTAAGGTGTAGTAAGATGTAAAAGTAGAATGAGTATGTATTTTGTTTTTGTGTGTGTGTGTGTGTGTGTGTGAGAGCGGGAATATTCCTGAATTTGTGTAAGCTGCTTTCTAAGCCCCCTGCTGCCTCAGATACAGACTATCGAAGCGCGTCAGGTGTCTAAGTGAAAGGGGGTCGGGGTAGCACCAGTCTGCTGTGCTGAAAGGGAAGGAAAGAACACTCGGGAAGCGGGAACAATCTATGCAACCCAGAGAACAGCAGGGGAAGAGGCAGAAATGAGTGAGAAATGGTGAGAAAATTGTACAAACGCAATAGGGAAGATGAAGGACACACCTGAAAGAGACGCACATTTTCCCCAGTGGGCTGTACGACTATTACCCGGGTTTCAGGACTCGGTGAGAAAACTGAATGGCATTCCAGCAGGGGCTGTCAGTAGTGGCCTCACCTGCATCCATCCAGACATCCAGGGGCTGCATGCATTACACCCCAATGGGCAGGGATGGAAAACCAACCAGGGGGATATGGGGACGAGAGGGGGGGGGGGCAATGTACGGCACGTTGGGAACCACACAGACAGGCAATCTGGCGTGATGAAGAGGCTCCCTTCCCGATCCCTCCTCTCAGACCCAGCATGTCCTCTTGCATCCCCTTCACGCTCCACCGCGCGCTACTACAAAACCTTGGCAGCCGAGCGACCCGACAATTGTTGCACCCATTTGCACGCTCCCTCTTCCTTCCCGTGCTCACTGCAAGCCCCGGCAGCGTGTATCCGTTCACATCATCTCATGGAGAACTGAAGCAGGGATGGCTTTTGAGTGGAAGGAAATATATGGGAGACGGGTTTGAATTTGGGGGGTATATTTTATGATGTTGGCGGCGGCAGTGTGGATTTGTTGCCGTGGCCCCATTGAATACTGCAAGGTTATCTGTGATGTACTTAACCTCCCTTGTGACAGTGCAGACGTGCCTGTGCTTGTCTTACCCATTAGTGCAGTGGGGGAGGTATGATAAATCCGTTAGATGCAGCTAAGTGATACAGATATTTATATAGATACAGCAAATCAATCTAAGCGAAGATGCCTCACAATGGTGCTCAGAGAGAGGTATTGTGTGTATTTATTGATTCTTACTGAAGGCTTGGTTAGCTTTCTTTAACGTATTCCTTGTGTCTCATCTTTGCTCTCTCTACTAAAAAAAAACACATGCACCTGCTGGCGTGTTTCTGCTCTTTGAAATGTTGTTTTTTTCCAGCTGAATGTTCATTCAGCAACAACTACAAACTGTGTATTGATATAGATGATTCATTCCTACAGCAAAATATAATTATTTGCTGAATATGTTAAGATCCGGGCTGGCCTCGCCTGCTTTTATTGCAGGTTTGCGGCCCCACTGGTTAGTGCTTGTCCGGCGCTCTGCACGCATGTGGGGGTGCTTCAGCTAACAATGACCCTCCGACTGATACCCCTGGAGGCCTGTTAACACTTTTAGCTCTGCCAGCACTTTCACCACAATTAAGCCATTAGGAAGAGCAATCGAAATTCTCCCAATCTCACAGCTTACATCTTTAATTGTTGATTTACAGTGTCATTTATATTTATTTTTGAGCATGTAACAATGTTTTTAAAATGTATAATGTCTGTTCTCAAGTATTTGGACTGCGAAGAACTCAAATCTAGTTGCCCGTTTTGATTTTGAACAATGACTCTCACTTCGGCCCTAAAGGGTGTTCAAGGCCTTTTCACAATCATTTCAGGTCAAAACTGTAGAAAGATTCAACTGCTTCACACGTAGGTTCTCATATTTTAGCCACTTAAGCACACAGTGTGTGGGTGAGTCAGCGAGACACAGGTGGACACGATCGGGAAGGGCAGCTGCAATCAGTGCCCTGGGAAGACATGAGGGCGGCGAAGTCTAGACGCCTGAAACAAGGACACATGGGCCGTTTCTCAATACCTAAGACGGCGAGAACGGACTCGCGTTCCCGCGAGAATAGACTCGGGAGACAGACTCGGGAGTCCTGACTCACGGGTACGGGAGAACGGAGAACGGACATTTCCGCAATTGGAACAGCAGCTGACTTGATGACGTCACCACAGTAGGCGGTCTTTGTTTACGCACGCAAGTGGAAATGTATAAAAAGCCAGCAGCGTGTTAACGGTTGTGGAAGGTGTTTGTTGAAATTGCAAAAGTATTCTGATTGAGTAGCTGGCAACGAAGAGCACAATAAAAACATATTGGTATTATTATATTTAATAATTAATTAATTTGAGTAGTAACTACATGGTTAAACTAACTAACAGATTAGACGTCATACAAAGCAAAACGAATTGTATGTGTCATGTTTAACTGCTACTTTAATACCAGCATCACATTAAAAGATGATTCTCGAGAATAGGCGGCTGGAATGAGCGCTGACCGCCCGGCTGAATGTTGACCACACATTTGTTGCTTAAACCGCTAACTTGTATCCTTAAAAAGTGTTCACATCACATTCCGTTAATTAACAATAGTGGTATTTAATAAAAGACGACTTACAGTTGTGCGTTTTCTCATCTGCCATCGCAGCTTGCTGAGGTGAAATGCATTCTGGGATATATGTCTCTCACAAGAACAGACGAGCCTGCTTCGATACATGCCCGGTAAAATGGGCGGGGCGAGTCACATCCGGGTATTATGACCGTTCTCGGCCAGATGCGGACGTGAGAATTGGAACAGTACTCGGGCTGTGACTGATGACGTTTCACGAGTCCACGAGAACAAAAGTCCACACAAGAACGCATATTGAGAAACGGCCATGGTGATTGTCAAAGAAAAACAGGCAACTGTGCAAAGTGAGCTAAAGTAATTTGTTGGAAAAGAGTCTTGATAGTTTCGGTTGCTTGAATAGTTGTCAATGACCATAAATGATTTGACAAAGATGATCAATTTGATACCTTTATACTTATTTAAATATTTGTCGAATTTTGTTCATTTGCTTTCGATGTAACTGCAACTATTTCTGAAAGTCTGCATTTGACCCTCGTTGCAACTGTTTTATTTGTTTATGCTCTGCAGTACAAAGCCAATTCTGCAAGTTACGGAATAATCATGATTGCTAACGTGTTTAAACGCGTTTGCCATTTGAGTGGGATGAACAGGACATGTTTCTTTAGTGATTAACATGTTTTTGTGGAATATGCTAAGAGCAGCTGCGTTCATTTCCGAAATAGAACAGGTACTTTGATACTGTGGTATTGTGTGTGTGTGTGTGTTTGAGTCTACGTGTAAAAGTTCCTGCGCAAACACACATTTGAGGCGCTCCACTGTGTGCCGGGGGAAACAAATGTTTTGTAACAGTGGTTGAGGGGGTGTTTTAATGAAGATGTCTCTAACTAGGGCTTGTTTGTGTGGGCGGGACAAATATGGGTTTTCAGATCCATGCTCATACTTCACATCTGCTTCAGTGCCTCAGTCACAATCATGTGTCGTCTTAATACGCACATTGCTACAGACAGGCAGCTGCACACATCCGCTGCATTTTTTGAACATTAGTGCAAAAGGTCATTCTACTGCAATTGTGTGTATGGTGGGATGACCTCAACCTCTCCTGTGCAGGTGCCCTACGTGAAGGTGGCTCCAGAGGACATTCTGAAGGTTCAGTTCCCCCGGTTCACCACGCTGGACCTGAGGCCAACCAACACCGACATCAGCCTGGCTGTGGCCGGCCTTTTGACCTTCTTTAACGGCACCACAGCCTGTCTCATCTGTGCACAGGCTGACTGTGAGTAGACGGTTCACACCTTCAAAACCAAATACACAATCAAACACACCCGGGGGAAAACGTGCCGACAAAGTGCAAACATTTTGTGTCTAATGTCTGCTATCCCCTCAACACATGTCGGCACACACAAACCTATCGCACGCACACCAACTGTGTTCTAACAGATGCGTCGCTTATCAACATCTCACCCTGTGACATGCTCTCTTCTGAAGCAGCTGCTGCTCTCCACAGTCAGAACTCTGTCACAGCAACGCGCCAGACATCTGCCTCCCAAAATAAATCCCATTCACATCACTCTCTTCCAACACTGCTGTCCCCCATACATTAAAATAATGACACAGCGTGTTAAGCTGTGCCGTGTATATTCTGTCTTCAGCCTTAAATCTCATCAGTTTACACTCCTAGAATACCATGGGATGATTAGAAGACGATGATGTTTGCAGCTGTATTCCCCAGGGAGCTGACCGCCTCCTTGTCAAAGGCACTCGTTAGATTCTGAAGATACTAAACTGAGTGACCTTAAAAAAAAAGCTTGAAAATCTCCGCGAGAGTAGTTATTTTCGTAAATAGAGAAGAAGATTCAATCATGGCCTGTTCCCACCCTCTCGCAGTCCAGCAAGCACTAATTACAACTCCATAGACAAAGGCAGCGTGACCCTGAGTGGCACCAGCTAACCTTTCTCCTAATCAGCAGCACAAGGCTTTGAAGCAAGGAAATGGGCTTGAGACATCTACCATGTGTCAGACAGCCCAGAGATGGCAATGAGCCACTGTGAACCGCCCGCCCGCCCGCCCTCCCTATCTCCATTCTCAGTTCTTCTGCCTTTCAACTCCCTCTTTGACTGCCTCTCGGTCTTTACTTTCATTTCATTTTTAACCTTTTCAAGAAGAGATTTGTCTAAACGCATAGAGAATTATTTTACAGTAAGTCCATGGAAATTTGAGGGTCCTTTAAAAAAAAAAAAAAAAGAATATTTCCCACTCTCATATTAAACTATGCTTGTTTAGGCACAAAGTGTGTGACTGTTTGGAAATGGCCCCCAGAAATGTTGCTTCTAGCGTTGTTGAGAACCGTCCAGTGGGAGATGGATCAGACATTCCTACATACACACACAGCAAAGAAACTCTTCTTTTGCTTCACAGTAAGATTTGCCAGATATCATTCACTTATGTGGAAATTGAAAAACTAACTTACCAAAAGAAAATCTGATGGAATTTTAACCAGTCGCTAGAACATCATCCAGTGTTTCCCCTAACATTGAACAAGGGTGGCGCCCCCCTTCAAGGAAGTGTGGATTTCCCTCCTCCCCCCCGTGGGCCGATCCGTTCGCCCCCTCAAAGCTGTAAATTCTAGGCGAAACACTGTTACATCTATTACAACTGCAAGGAACAAAACTATATCCCCCTGGGTGCTTCCTCACCTGTCAGTCATCCTTCCAATTCGGGGCTCAGATCTCGTTTCAGTGATTTTTATTCCACGAGTCCAAGAGTTGATTAATACCCCTCTGGCAAGAATATTAATAACAAGTGAAGCTTTTATGCACCTTCGGATTTTAATATTTGTGAGTTTGGATAAAAGAAGCCCCCTTTTTTTCTGCATGTGTGGGTGTGCGGGTTGTTACTTTGTGTGAGAGGCGCTAAGAGAAGACTGTAAAGGAAATGAAAAGAAAAGAAATGAGGGGAGATGATAGGTAGATAAAATGGACCAAGAGGAGTCCGGAATCAGAGAGGTGAGGAGAGGATGTGATTTGCCTGAAATGTAGCGATAGGGGGGAAGAGGGGGGAGGAGAGGGGAGGAGAGGGGAGGGCGTGACTTGGCTGGAATTATACATTGTTACCAGGAGGTAGACGGTCCAGGAAATGACACCACTGTATTGATTGCTCCCTCTCAAGCGACACTCATCCATTCAATAGAAAATACAGCAAATGGCGGCATGCCTCGATTTGTGTGCGTGTGTGTGTGTGTGTGACGGTCTGTATTCGGCAATATCATCAGCTGAAACCCATCCAACTTTGGCCCCGGCCTGCTCAGCTCCACCCTGCCCGTCAGCTCACATAGTCAGCTTGTCGGTTGGCAGCCTGCTGTCGGTGGCTCGTCCACATGTGCCGTCCCCATTAATCAAACGGGCCAGTGACAGCCTAATAGAGCGTGGCCAATTCATGAATATTTTCCTGCAATGGCCGAGAAGGCAGGATTGGAGGTGGAGCCATGCCCAAAGGCACGGCGCACACCAGGACGGACATTAATCTGGCTGAGCCCCCGCTATCCACACCAGTGTGTGTGTGTGTGTGTGTGTGTGTGTGTGTGTGTGTGTGTGTGTGTAGCAGCAGCCTCAACTCTATATAAGCCTGGCCTGGGAATACGCTCCATGTGGTCAAATTTATCTGGCCCGCTGGGTGGCCCCACGTGCTGCTTGGCTGTGGCCTGTTGTCAAGTAAATGAGACACGCGCATAAATGCGAACACTCGCAAAAGGCCTCGCCTGCATTCCCACGCTGCGCAAACCAAATGCATTCGCATGCACGCTGTTCACTCTCACAGGCCCGGTGCTGCAGGAGTGCCCTTTCATTAGTGGGGTGATTGGTACAGATGTCGGGGCGCTGAAAAAGAACATCCAATAAACTCGACTGGAGCTGCAGTACAGGTACAGGACTTTGTAGTGCAACGAAACAGCAGGCATTTTTCTACCTTTTTGTTAGGCACAGTTGCATAGTAAAGTTTGACATCAGTGCAGCTAGTACTGAAAACCCTTTTCTTACTTGTGTTATCAGGTTTTTACAACAATGTGTGTTTGCAATGTACTTGTTCAGTCTTATTCTAATTGTTCTTTTTTTTTCTCATGATGGTTACATTTCCTCCGCTCATCTTTTAAATTACCATTGTGTACTACTCAGTTTATAGGATCTAAATGACTTGTAACCATGGTGTTTTTCTATCTAAAGACACGCAAAAAGCCTAATAATCATGTACAGTAATTGACATCAACAACATAACAGTAGTGACGTCAGTAACCAAGGAAACACCGACTCCGTCGCCATTTAAATCTATTCAACCAATGTGTAAATGACTAAACTGTTTGCTAGAACCCAGCACACAAGTTTACACAAGCACAAAGTTCTTCATAGCTATAGTTCATCCAAGCACCAGATTAATGCATTTGACATTAAAATGTTCAACATTTCATCCTCGGGGCGCACGCTAACGGACACCCATAGAGGGTCGCGGTCCGCCCAGCACAGTCCGACAAACACTTCTGTAGCCTTGTTGTTTGTTGCAGAGGAGTTTTGTTGATAATCAGGCTCCTGAAGCACGAGCAATAAAAGTGATTTGGTGAGTATCATCACCGTAACATGAAGCTCTAATATAACCCACCCAAGTCATAAAACTAGCGTTTACTGCTTTACTGTTTATGTTGAATCATAATAATGTACAGCCTCCATACAGGCTTTCACTTCTGTGTTAAAACCTTTGTCAGGGAACAAAGGTTTTATTGTACATAATGAAGCCACTTTACACCTCCCAAGGAATTCATATTCCACTGCCGTAAATTCACAGTTCAATATTTTCAAACTGCTGGCCTGTGTCGTGGTAGTGTTTGCTTTGGGGTAATTTGTGTGTCTTCCAAACAATTGTGTGTCCCTGCATCCGTGGTTTGTCTCTGTGATCTTGCAGTCATGTTGTAACAACAGCAGGTGAAAAGTATATTGGGGTTAACCAAACGATTGTCAGACCTTTAGCTGTGTGTCTGTAAGAGAATAGTGTCTGAGTCATCCATGCTAATGAGGTCTCATGGTAACACACTGGTTTAATACTTGTGAGGATCCTGTTTGATATATTCTCTATTTTTAACTTTCACAACTTTATATTACAGTTAAATCCTTTAGGAATAACTTAATTCCTGGTCCTGTCCATCAGCATAAATAACCCAATTCCACCTGTGATTTACTACAGAAAGGTGAGGAGTTAAACATGCTTCTTTGCACAGTTGAGACATGATTTTCAAAATCCCTCCACGAATAAGCAGTAATAGAAACACCTGGTAAAGTACTAATCCCACAGTACCCATTACAGTAGTTTAAGTCTACAGGACTTCATTTTGCCATGATGACATACAAGTGGACTGCCAAGGCAAAAAGAATAACAGCACTTCTGTCGCACTGGGTAGACATAAATGTAAACATTTCAGGATTTAAAATACTAAAACACTGCAAATGATTTGAGATGTTAGTTTTGCCACACCGATTATCACATCTTCTATCACAAACCTGGCGCAAACATATTCTGAGCCTTTTGAATCCTGTGCAATGTCATGAACAAGAACCGGCGAAGAAGCCATAGCGAGAGGATGCAGGAGGCAGGTTTATGAGATGCTATTCTAAGCTCATCAGCAGTTACTCTGCGTTATACCACTGAGGAAGCCGACCTGACGGGTAGGAGACACAGCCAGGCGAGCGATGAGCAGCCACAGTGACGTCTCGTGAGTGCATGAGTCACAGTTAGCCAGGTACAGGAAGACCAACACACACGGTGAGACACTACCGTGGAGACAGGCTAAGAGACAGGCTGACATTGAGATAGAATTACTGAAGCTATTAGACATGATGCAGGTTGACTGGGGCAGCCGCTTGTGTTAATGTACTGTGGAGAAGTCAAACGAGTCGGCTTGAATTGAAATTCAAATGTGGTCTCCGAGTGATAGATGAACTACTCGGCTGTGGCCATGGCAAAACCCACATAAAGATGTTGACGCCCAAGTCTCAAGTGCCATTTCAGTATTACTTCATAATGGAAAAAGCACATAGCGGATGAGCTAATGTGTGTTCCTCCCCTCCCCCCCCAAAAGTTAGGTCCTTCAATCATGACTTTCCTTTCCACTATCGAGTTATATTACATAATCGTAATGGGATCCGCCGAACTGCCAAGGTGAGGCCAATGTAACTGTCTCACCAACACAACGTGGTTTGCTGGTTTCAGTCTTATTCAGGATGTTCCTTTCTCACTGTGTCGCCTCACATAACTCCTTTATGGAAAATGAGTCCTGCAACCTCTCAGGGTCTTTTTAAAAGACAAATACCGAGTGACCGTTAAAGGCTGCTGGGAGCCTTTTGATTAAGTCGGCCATGTTTTAATTAGGGTAAATCCCACTTACCTCAGTAGAGTCAAATTGTCTATTACCACGGGATCAGTACGAGCTGTTGGAGTAATGTCCCCTTGTGTTTGATGGCTTTACAATCACTGTAATTAAAGCTAATACATTTTTTCTCCATGGAAACAGTATTATGGATTCCTTGTTGATTCTTGTGGCAGAAAGAACGAGGCACAGTTCTTTGTACATGACAACAGTGAATAAACAATGTGAACCACCATTTTATGAATGCATCTGACATGTAAAACATCAGGAAAATCTTCCTTTTATTACGAGTAATGTTTCTGTTGTGTGTGTTTTTTTTCCTTGTGTGCGTTCACACCGGCAGGCTTGCTGAACCTGGAGCAGCTGCTTAGCCAGTTCCTCATCTCCAAGGAGACTTTGTCGGTGCACATGCTTGACGACTGCAACGACCCCACCCCGCTTCTGAAAGAGATTCGAGATGACAAGACCGCCACTATCATAGTCGATGCCAACGCCACCATGTCACATATCATTTTGGAACGGGTTAGTATGGCTCACATTATAGCTATGTTCTTCATGCACCGATAACTTGTCTTTATTTTACTTCTTGGCTTTTCTCAATTCACAAACTTCTCATTCATTCAACTTAAAGCATCTCCCAAAAGCAGAAGTACCTGAGAAATGAAGTGTTCAAGGTTAAAAAAGATTATTTTTTTCAGTTTTTTTAATGAAATGTACAGATTGTATTCACCACAGAATTCATTTGCAGAACATATTAAACATAAAATTTTCTTAGTGATAGCAATAATGCTTTTACTTTTCTGAATCAGAAGATTATGGGGATTTATGCACTTTTGGCAGAACTTTGCTTAAAATCTCCTCCCAAATAACAGCTAAAGGAATGCAGGCAATCGTCTCGAAAAAACCTGTTGCATCAAATTACATGGATGAGAGCAATAAATCATGTTGCATTCCAATAATTCATCTCCATTATTCACGGTTAAGTGGATTAGTGTGACTAAGGACACACTCAACAAACTATGGACCCCTTTCTGTCAACTTTCTAACAGTTTGTGTTGTGGATTAAAGCAAGCCGTTCAATAAATAAATCAAGTGGATGGATTATGTCATGTCTTAGTTGTCCATGATGAATCTTTTGATCTATTCTCCAAAAATAAAAACTCTCCTTGGCACTATTTCTTTCAGCATCATAAAAACCTGCCCTTGTGTTTGCTCCGCTAATTACACATATGAATAACAACCATCTCTGAACATTATTAAAACCTTGACTTCAACATAATCTTTCTCCTGATTGGAGACTTGTGTTTGTAAAGAGCCTGGATGACATCGATATAGGTGATCGTGGGAGCCGAGGAAGCGAGGGTGTTTGGCAGCAGCATATGGCCTCTTGTAATTAACGCATAGCTCATTAATTCTAGAAGATAATAAATGGATGGCTGGAGGCGAGACGACAATAACCTGAGACTGAGGGGTGTTGGGAGATGGGGAGATGTTTATCTTGCTTCTCCCTCATTTTCTATGTTATAGTCGCTCCGTCTCACAGTGGTCTCAATCTCCCACCTCAATCAAGTGTTCAGGCTGCCATCAGTGGTCACTCAGTCACCATGGCAACCCTGGGCCACGCGGCAGCGGGGGGGCCCTCAGTGGGACGTCACTCCGTCTCTCTTTCTCTTTTCCCGCTGTCCCTTCAGTATGAACACGGAGTTGTGCTCTTTTTTCGCTCTCTCTGCTCTCGGGAGCCTGGAGAAGATTATTTCACTTTGTTTCCTAACTTCTCCCCCCTTATGTGGCCTTCGTGCACGCTTCTATCTCCTTGTCTTTTTGTCTCCTCCATGTGTCACGCAGTCTGTCTCTCTCTCTCTGTCATGACATGGTCAGCAGCATGGTGGTGGAGAGTTGGCAGTCTTGCCTTTCATGTGGAGTGCGTTGTTGCCAAACATATCCAACATGCGTGCCGGCATATATGACATTCTAAAATGATGATAAGAGCGCCCATCTCGTCTAAGGGAGAGAATTGTCTGTTGTCGTGCAAGATATGCCCCCATTATTTGTCTGTTTACATCTTACATCAAACCCTCGTCAGACAAAGGTCTCACTCCCTGAGGTTTTAGCATTCAGAGGGGTTTAGGTCAGCGGTGTTAGAATTCTGAATGTAATCTCATTCAGTCAGCCCTCCACCGTTGTGCTCGTAATGAACCAGAGTGGGAGAGATGGTGCAAACCGTGCGCACTCTGACCGAAGCAGCAGTGGAACAGCGAGGAGATCAAAAAGTGAAACGGAAGCTTATTTCCAGTTTAGTCAAAGGAAACAAAAGGAGATCTTTTTGGGTTATATTGTGTCTTCTAAAAGGAAATTTGGGCAGCAGCCAAAGTGTCTTAGGGAATAATGTCAATTTCTGTTGTTGGTAAATTGTTAATGGTGCACTTCGTAAAATGTAGCCACATCTGGGATAGTATTTTAATACTCGGTCATCTGGTTGAAAAGAAAAAACTTAACTTAAGGGCAATAAACCGCTATATTCAACCTGACTTCCAAAACTCAATCTTCTTATAATCGTTCTGTGTGCCGCCAGCATAAAGTGTACATCATCTGTGTGTTAGTAACATTGTGTTACTGTTGAAAGTTGGTCAGATGGATTAAATTTAAAGTTGCAAAAAAGTAAGGAAAAAAAAGAAACTCTGCAACTCTTATTCAGCCAACCGCAACGCAGGAGATCACAGCGCTCGGTCAAGCATGAGTAACGACAACCACTGAAAGTCGGTAGATCCGGGGGAGGGGGGCCCGTCCCCCAGGAACTGACCTGCGGTGCCGGGCTTTTCACTCGCTGAATTCAAGCTAACTGCAAACGGAAGGTCCGTCTCCCTTCGCTCTACTGCCAGCGAAAGGGACACCTTGTGCATGGCAGGACAAGGCAAGAGGACGGCTGCTTTTCTTGCTTCTGCCACTGTATTTAATCCAAAACATGAACGCACACAGATCAGGGATGTATCATTGACATTATTGAGGCCATAAGGGAGGACTGGACCCGTTGAGTGACTCGCTACGATCTCTCAAGGAAAGTGTTAGCAGAGGACAGGCCCTGGCTAGCTGGTTAGCGTGCTCATTTCAGTAGCTATTACTGCATCCAAAAACTTTGCCATTGTGTCCACATTGCAACACTTATACATTCTAATAATAATGTTAGTTCTTCTGTTTTATCTTAAGTTATTTTAAAATATTACTTGCCACCTGAAGGTACTGTTGAAGGGGGGAATTCTCAACCACTTTGCGCCATTAGCACATGTTACTTACTGTGTTTTAACCCCGAGCGTAACAATTAAATTTGCTGAACCATAATTGCCTTACATTGCCATAACGCCTGCAGTTTCAGAGAAATCCAAAATAATAAATACACTGAACGGAAGACATTTTACTAAGATGTCATGTGAGGTCATTCAGAGTTTAATAATGAAAGTTGTGTTGTTGGATGTTTTTGCTAAATGATTCCTTTCTAATTCCCACTGTTTTGTTAAATGCTCCTTCAGAACACTTCCGGCAACTGAGGGCCATACACACACATACAGGTTACACTTTTTGCGGATTTGAAAGCTAAATATCTGTTAGTGAACTTGATCTGATGCTACGAAACATTGTATAGTTAAATAATATGAGCGTCGAAGCAATTTATGATGGAAACGTAAATTTCAGTGCAGCCCAACGTGGAGAAGATACTCTGTGCCTATTTGAGTGAATTCCTGCTCAGGAAGGATTACACTTAGAGTTGATGATTTTTGTAAGAACTGCTTGGTTTAATATATACTCTACTTGACATTTATTGATTTCAATCATAATGTGAATCACAGCGTGATTAAATAGAGGCCTATAGCCTTGCTCGATGATTTTCTTTTTTGCTGATGACTTTAATGAAATGAAACTATGAAAAGTTCACCCTGTCCTTCACAACTGCTCCTCACTTTGATTTAATCAAATTGTAAGAAAGTATCGAGCTGCATACTAATGCATCCCGGATATTAATTGCTCCATTCGGTGCCATTGTCAGATAAGCGATGTTTCTTATCAGGATGTGAATTTGATCTATCTGTCTGCAGAGTGGAGCTTCAGTTACACTGAATCCCTGACCTCTCAACTTCGCCCTCCGCCCCCTTTTTGTACTTGACTCGCTTTGCCCTCTGTTTTGTTTCATCCCTCGCTGCGTTCACCTACTGACCATCTCGTCTTTTGTTCTGCAGGCATCAGAACTGGGGATGCTGTCAGTCTACTACACTTACATCTTCACCTCTCTGGTAAGGAAACGGCGCATGTTGTCGGTATTTAGAGGCGATATCGATTGCGCACCTGCAAGTACAGCGGTAGTCCAATGCTGTGCTCCTGTACTGGATCACAGTGGTGCTCTTCACTTGAATGAAGGATTGAATGGATAGAGTTCAGCAGATTGGAGCTAAAACAAATGAATTCTAGCGTGGCTTGATTATAGATTCTCACTGCATGTAGACACATAGCGGCTATGCAGTCCTCATCTGGACCAAACACGTACATAATAATGATCATTGTCCAACACCTTCCTCTGAACTATTCTTGTTTTCTAGATTATGTGCTGCATGCTCGTGGCGTAAAACATTTAGCTCTTAATTAGTTGCTCATTTGACTAGCGTAGTTTCTGATACCTGTTAGCCTTGGAGCTATGTAATGGATTAACATGTAGGGGCCTTGCAAAAAAGCAGTTAGACATTGAGCTGTTTCATACTGATGAAATCGCATTACGGCGCACAGTTATTTTAATAGTATATTAATTTCCATGTCGGAAGATTTGAGAGTAATAGTGTTTTGTCCCCCACAGGCAAGAGGATTGGGTGGATGATAAAGACAGTGGCTCGGAGAAAGTTTAGTGCAATGGTAAACTTACCAGATAGCTGCTCCCTAATGCAAATTAACAAGGGCCAAAACAATCTGCTTTATTAGCGCTCTGGGGATGATTCGTATCCAGCTGATTTATGACTCATTAAGAGCGGGATACATTTGTGTTCTCCTCCACAGCCCTTGACAGTCACTTTTATTATTGCATATCTCTTTTGTCTTTCTTCGTTGTAGCGTTTCCGTTGTAACACTATAAGCTCACTCTACTCTGGTCTCTGCTAGAGGACACAGCGTGCGTGCGTGCGTGCGTGCGTGCGTGCGTGCGTGCGTGCGTGCGTGCGTGCGTGTGTGTGTGTGTGTGTGTGTTCTCCCTTGTTCAGATATGAATTTGTCTCAATTAGGATATAATATAATGGTATTGTTGTTTTGATCAGGATCAGTTGTGACATAATGTGCTTCTCCTACAAAATTCATTAAAAGAATGCCTCATCCTCAAAATGGCCATAATCATCCCTGTCTTTCCATGAATTAGAAAAAATATTTAACAAAGGATGAAATAACAAATCTTGATGAATTTAATTAAAAGGGGAGAACATTTGACTCTAAAACTTTACTAAAAAACTTACGTTTTCAAACTCTCACACAACTCCAGCAATGTACTGTAGCCAAAGTTGTATTTAGTAGAGTCATATACAGCACGCACTACTTCCCAAACATATGCATCACTATTGAGAACACTTTGGATTTGTCGGTCCTTGAATGGACAAAAAGCGCTCCTGCACAAAAGACAGCCTTTTCTTTGTTGAAACGTCTTAAGGTCTAAAGAACAGGATTAATAAAACTTGGATTACACCCCACCAGTTTGAGTGCTGTAAATGGACGTTTTGATATTACATTTATTTTTTTCAAACCAATTATTACAGAGCTAGAGGAAGGTGACTGTGTACACTAACTTAATTCAATAGCTTGTTTTTCTGCAAAAAACATCTTGTGTCGTCATTACTTTTCCCTGAATTAAAAATTGAATTGCAAACCTTCCGGTTTATTTTCTCTACCTCGACCATGTTATTATATCCACCGTCAAAGTTAATATTCTTGACACCAATTAAGATAGATCTGATGTTCCTTTGATTAGAACATGCAGTGAATGTTGCCACCCAAGACACGTACACAAGCTTTTGATGGTTAGTGACTCTAATCTGAACCTCCAATGGTAGCTTTCATTGGATGTAGGATTTAATTGGGTACCAGAAGGTTAAACTTCCTGCCCATGCAAATACAGTTTTTAAATTAAAAAAACTTTAATTTAATTTAAGTTAAAACAGTGTTATTTTGTGCAGAAAGGGATATATACAGCGCACCCGCTGGTTGGCTGAATAAGATGACAATGATGAAGTAATTAAAGTTTAATGATAACAAACATAAGGTGATCTACAGGTAAAATACGTCTATATATACTTGGTATTATCCCATATCTATTCTAGGTTATCAAAGACTATGGTACGATGCAAACACTAGTTTTAATTAAACTCGGCATTTATTCATATAAGCCAAGTAGGCAACATAATCCTAAATATATAATAATAATATAACATTACCATTCAGGTGATTAGCGGCCGGCAGGTTTCCCATAGTGGGTCTATTGGACCATTTGCTGCAGCTGGAAGCAATGATTGGGAAATTGGGATTGGACCAAAGACGAACAACGGAACCAAAAACAATGAGCTGAAAGATGCTCAGTGGCTTTGTAACTTTGCAGGAAACTGCAGAGTTGGGTTTGTCACTTAGAACGACCTCTTTCACATTACAGAGCCATTATTTCGTCATCTGATCCATTCTTCTATAGAAAATGTTGATTTACTGCAGATGTAAAGGGGCTTAGTCATGTGGCTCTTCCTTTTGTTTGCTGCACCCTGAAATGGTAGAGATATTGTATTCTGTTCTGTAAAATGTCCCCCAGATAAAGAGAGAACCATTAGTGTTGATAATCATAATTGACAATCTGAAAAAGAGACAAACCATCTTGACTTCTCCTCTAGCATGGCAGTCCTGTGAAAGAAAAGACTCTGATGGCCTATGATTGAGTCATATTTCTATAAAGATTTCTAATGATATAAAGTACTAGCTAATGGCGCCCTTGCTGTTACTTCATACTGCGGTAGAGGAATAACAGGATGAAGACTTGGCCTCAGTCTTGAATGAAATCCATGTCTAGTGGCACACTGATTGTTCTCTATCTGGGATGCAGTGTCTTTGGCCATTAGTCATTTCATACTTCGTATTTGCCGAACATGTTCAGGCTGAGCTGTGAAGCCTCCTGCAGCTTCTTAATTATCTCAGTGAGCGTGGTTTGGGAGGAGGAGGAGGAGAGAGGGAGCATTACCAAATGTCATGCCTGTAGACCTTTTAGAAACCTGCGGTGTAATAGCAAAATTGGTTAAATTATTTCCTCAGTTACCTGTTTCTGAAATTCAACGCAATAGTCTTCTGCAGCTATGGACATAAAAACCAAGAACTGCAGCTCCTCCAATAGATAATACGATACACTGTACTGTACAGTCATGGATTGCATCCAAAGTGACAGGCTACCAAACTGTCCCTTACATCATTCCTAGTGGCCACTCAGTTTCACTCATTCCAATTTGACCATGACACCATATGTCTTTGTCCAGCATGCTGGGGTACAAACATCTGCTTAGTTTGAAAGCCTTTAATAGCCGCATCCATCAAAACAATGTGGTAGAATGTTTGCATTGTCGGAAGCAAATGACCAATTGTATTCCACTGTTCATAGAATTATGTCTGACCTGCAATAGTACCAGTCTATTTGTGAGGCGGAGACGTCACGTCCAGAGTAATTCTGAGACTGGCGGAGGCCAAAAACACCATGAATATTGCAGACACCAGCATATGTTTGGAGTCTGAAACCCTCAAGTGTTTTACAGTTATCTATTCATTCAAATCGCAGCTGAAATAATGGAACAGTACAGGAGCTGAGAGCACAAAAAGAAAAAGTCATTTGGGGGGGAAAAAAGAAGCCTTCAAAGTCAGTTGTAGGTTCATTTCTTTCTGCTGGGAGACTAGAGACGGTTTCTGGTCCTGAAAAGAGTCAGTGGAAGAATGAGGGGCTGAAATACTGAAGAGATGCAGATGGAGAATGAGCAGATGATTAAGATGAAACTCCATTAAAACTCTTCATCTTAATGAGATGAGTTGATCGATGTTACACATCGATGTTACACATTGATCGACTCCAAATCTTCTCATCAAGACCCCTCAGCGTTCAGGCTCTGCGTTAAAGGTCCACAATGACAAAACAAAACACTACACAGGAGGGTAGGGTGAGAGGATTTTTATGCTCCCCCGATCAAAATAACCGTGAACAATTTAATCTATACTGACAGTCAAAGGTGATTTAGTCTTGCTGGCTCAGCTCCGGGGTTGATGAATTGATGGTGACAGCAGCTCGCTGTGGTCTTTTGTACCAGAGAGATGGAGATTATGTTGCCTCGTTTGAATTGTCTTTGGATAAGCATTTTGTTTCTGTTTTCTGCCACGTCGTGGTTTATAAAGGACGTCTTGGTAATCCTTTGTAGCTGTTTTCAGGCGTGGAAATCCCCTAAAAAGCTTTTTGAAAATGCTTTTGAATTACATGGTTTCTTGTGGCAGTAAGCCGTTCTAGTTGTCTTATTTCCCCCCATTTTGTTTTTATAAGCAATGTAAGTGTTCCTGTTGTCCTATAAATTATTTGTGAGTCATTAGCATAATGCAAAGTTAATTGATGTATTTGTGTCCAAATATACTTAACGATCTCATTAAAGTATTACGACTTAATAGCAGATCTCTGCTGCTTGAATGACCAAAGAGAAACTGCATGGAGTTCAACTTCATTGAACATTCATCATTAAAATGCAACGATAGCGACTTGATATTTCCTCAAAATATCCTTAATGTCTTGTCTGGAAGATGCCAAATGTGTGAATGCTAAAAGCACGAGTGGATTTCCAAACAGATGAACATGCATAATTGAATTAAGTCCACTTTGAGCGTTGGTTAAAGAAGCGTGATAAAAGAGTCTATTAAGCAACCACTAACCGATTAGGCTTTCTTGTGATGATTTGAAGATGGAAATGAATTGATGGAGTAAACTTAGAAAGAAATTAGAAATGCAAGATTTCTAAACTTCTAAAAAAAAGTAAAGGGAATGAATACAGCTCGGACTCACCTTTTCATTGTTATAAAAGATATTAATATTATATTCCGGTTCTGCCAGTTGATTCCTGTCAATGTGAAACACTGTTCCTTTCATTAGGAAAGAGCCAAAAAAAAATGTTGGCATTTTACGAGCGTAATGGTGAGACATTCCCACTCAACAGAAGCACTGTTATCAGTGCACGCGTGGAGGTTTTTGATACTTAAGTGGTGTGAA